AAAAAAAACAATACAGTAGCATAAGATAAGATAGAATAACATACTATGCAAAATAGAATAAAATATTATATACAATAGAATAAGTACAATACATACAATCTGACAGCAAATGAAATAAGCAGAAATTCAGATGTAATTTTTTTGGTGGTATTTTATTGATTAATGAATAATTTGTTTGGTATTATTATCTGAACAAAAAAATACCAAATACAACTTACACCTCAAGGTTCTCTTATACTGCAAAGACCCTGCAGTATTAGAGAAAAAACCCAGCAAAAATCCCTTTTAAGCAAGCACGAGGCAACAGTGGGAAGGCAAAACTCCCTTCTAATAGGAAGAAACCTTCAGCAGAATCAGGCACAAAAAGGGACAGCCATCTGCTGCGACTGGCTGGGGGAGAAGTTCTTTTTACAATTTTATTTTAGCCAGTTATTTTTTGGGTTATATTTAAAATTTACTGGCCAATTTGAGGTGATCAGTTGTTTGTGTCCAATTGAATTTAAACAAGTGAAGCCCTAAATTTCATCTTTAAAAAAAAGTGAAAGTCATGGCTGCAGTTACTTAAGGGTGACTGTTGGGTAAGAAACATGAAAAGATGGCTTTGCGTATTGTGGTAAAAAAACGTTGGAATATAGATGGTTTCTTTTTTGGGAAAAGATACTTTTTGAAATAAAAACTAAGCACCCCCTCAAAGAGTGCTTGACTCTCCGTTGTTAGAGTTAATAGTAAAGCTGGAGTCAAGCGCACATCTTTATGGAGAGCTTTGTAAATTTTCTTTTCCAGGTTTATAATCTTTTCTGGGGTTATATTTAAGTTTTTCCCCTCAACTTCAGCCCAGAATTTCACGAACAACAACCTCTTTAGTGACTGGCAAAATTCTTTGTCACATTTCATCTCCATTTTGCAGAAGAACCACTTAATAAGGTTCCCGGCCAGAACTTCTACAGCTGTTTTGAGTCTTTCATCCTCAGCTTTTAACATCTGCTGAGACACTCTGTCATCTGCAGAAGAATCTTTTGTGGGATTTTTCAACTCTTTGACCTCTGAATCACCTGTAATTTTAGGCTTGCAAGCTGCAGAGGATATCTTTGAGGACTCGAGGTTTTGAGGTGATTTCTCATTCAGCTGAGGTAATACAACTTCTCCAATGTCATCTGATGAAAGAATTTTGAGTTTTGTGATCATGTTTATTTGTAGCTTCATTTAAAGGAAGAAGAGCTTGTGTATTGGAACCACCATAGAGAAAGGGAGTGAAAACATATGTGCAGAGGAATGCTGTGACATATGATACTACTTCCTGTGTTAAACTATCCTGTGATCTGTTTAGACCTCAATCTGGTCTTTATGCAGAGGCACAAAACATGTTAGATAAAATGGCACTAGGTGAAAATCCACAGAAAAAATAGGAAAAGATCGCTACGGACGAGATATGGGAGGTGATGTCGAACCACCTGGTCCTCCTGGCATTTTTCCCATGATAGTAGTACCAAACCCCAGATACGGCCAACCCACAGGGGAAGGTGAAGTAGATGGAGGGGCACAACGTGATAATAACCCAAATACATTCGTGTTTCGGCCGTGGTCACAAAAAGATAGGCAAAATG